GCGTCCCCCCTGCCCTCCATCCTCCCCAGCGCCAGCCCCGTAGGTCTTTGGCCTCCTGACCCAGACAGAGCCGGGCGCTAGGGAGCCTGCGGCCGAGCCCTGGTCGCGCCGCCCCCAGCCTCGGGGCCGAGAGCCAAGAGTTCGAGGCCTCCCCGACCCGGACATGCTGAAAAGGAGCCACAGAGGGAGAAGTGTTTCTGGAGTATAGGCGCGCTGTAAGGGGGAAAGAGGGGCAGAGGGGAGAGAGCCCCGCTCGGAGGGGAGCCAGCGGGGCTGAGCTAGCTGGAAAGAGGAGGCGGAGAGCGCCGAGCAGAGGAGCGGCTGCTGCCGCTGTTGTCGCCACTGCGGTGTGCGCTGAGCGGGAGGGAGGAGGGGAGGGACACCCAGGGGTGGCCGCCGTCGGGCCAGCGCGACCTGCGGCCCCTGCCGGAGCCTCGCTAACTTTCCGAGGCGGAAGAGGAGGAGGAGGAAGGGGCTTTGAGTGAGTTGGGGGGATGCCGAGGTAGGTGGCGGTCCCCCGGGCGGGAGGAGGATGGGTTCTGATCCCAAATCCGATCTCCCAGCCTCTCCCCCTTGGGTACCCCCGCCCCGCTTCGACCCCCTAGGACTCACTGCTGTTAACTTGCTGGGTAACAGTTTTCCTCCCGGGTTTCAAGTCAAAACTTCCCCGGGGTGGGGTTTGGGGGAGGGAAGCAGAGGGGGAGGGAATGTCCTGCAGGGGTGGTGTGCTCTTCTCTCAAAGCACTTTTTTCTTTTTAATCCCCGCCAGAAGCGGTCAGTTGCCTGCACCCAACATCTCCGAGCCCTTAGTGTGTCCGCCCCGCACGGCGGCGAGCTAGGCGGAGGCGCGGCGAGGGCTCCGTGAAGCGGCCCATGTCCGGCGCGGGTGAAGACCCCGCTCCCGGGCCCCAGCTCGGGGCCGAGGCGGGTGGTGGCCGGCTGGGCGACGCGGCCCAGGGTGAGTGTCGCTTGCAAGTTGCAAGCTCCTTTGTCATTGTTGCATTTTAAAATGTGTTCGCACATTTACTGCTTGGGGTCTGTGTGTGGGGAATTGGTGCGAGGACCGAGCCAACCTCGTCCTTGTGAACTCTTGCATAGTTAGTATTACTCAAGCAAGTTCTCCAGCATTGCAGCCCTAGATCAACAACCGGATAAGAGGGCGGGATCCGTTGGTCCCTCCACTCCCCGCTTCCTTTGGCCGCGGAGAAACAGGATCGCTTCTTTCTTAAGCATATGCATTTCAGGGCCTAAGACCCGACAGTGTGGGCTCTGAAGCACTTCCCCACTACTCTTCAGTTCTGTGCCTTCGTCAGATCAACGACTGCCGCTGCTTTCTGAACAAGCCTGCACTCTCCCTTCATCTTCCTGTTTCTCGTGGGCTCGTCTGCAACTCTGATAATCCCGGTTTCTGTGACCAATTGCTTTGGGATGGCTCATGCATACGTTTTCAATAACTGTTTTTGTTTTGAAATACACAGGCTTCAGAAGAAATGCTTTTCAAGAATGAATTAGCTCTTTGTGTTCCTCCAAAGCGTAAACACATTCAGCCTGTAAAGAAAATACTTCTGTTTCTGGGAAAATTCCACAATAAGATTATTAACAAGTCAAACAGTATCTTTTTTCTCTTGAAGGTAACATACTTCAGGTTTTCATTGGTGACAGAGAGCGAGGATCTTAATCTCCTGATGTATTTTCCTCTTAGGGTGGTTCTGATTTAAAGAGTTCTGACACTGATACAAACTAAATAATTTTCCAGGGCTCCAAAACCTATTTTACTTTTTCTCTTGATTTTAAGCCTACCTGATACATGTCCCCCGCCACCGCCCCCTTAAGCAATAATGTAATGAGCTTCTTGGGATTCTTTTTGTTAAGGCAGTAAAAAGTGGAAAAGAAGAAGTGAGTGTCAACCCACAATAGGTAAAAGCAGAAAACATCCATGGCTAAATTAAAATGTGGAATTCAAGGGCTGTGAAATTGAATTATGTTTATCATTGTTTCTTTTTTGCTTCTAAACAGTGAGTCATTTTTTCTAAACAGAGAAGATCAGAAAATCAGAACTAGAATGATAAACACGTTTTCCCAGAAGCAGCCCATGTTCCTCACACTGTATTGCCAAGGCAGTCATTTTCTTGTCATTAGGCATGCCCTCAGTAGTCATATCGACTCCTTGATGGGATGTTTAGGTTCACACTTGAGGTGTTCATCACTATTGTTAACAAATGCTTATGTCAAAAATCAACCTCAAACACACTAGAAAAACAATTGATTTAGAACTAGTGATATCTACAATGTCCAACTTTAATAATACACATTTTTTAAGTCAGTAGAAGTTGCAGTGATAATGCACTGTACAGATGTAATGCTGTAAGGTATCACATGATCTGACTTTAAGAAGCCAGCATCTAGAATGGTCTGAAGGAGAATGTGGACTGCATACAACACTTTATCAGTGTGGAAACTCTTGGGTTATGTTTTACCTGAAAATTGACTTAACCTCAGCAACATTTTTTTTTTTTAGTAGTTTAACTTTGACTCACCACATCCTCTAAGTAGGCATCAATTTAATTGTAAATGTAATATAAAGTTGAGTTTTTAAAAAAGAAAATCCTCAGAATCTTGTTAAAAGATTGTGTCTCAAACAAGCAGATTTCATAAGCTGAAAGAAAAAAAAGTTTTGGAGCAAGTGGGTAGGGAGAAAGCTTCAAGACGTAGCCGCCATGGTTAGGGTGGTTTTATTGGTAAAGACGTTAGTGAAGAACCTTTGCCCGCGAGCCACTCTCTTCTTAAGCTCTTGCTCGAGTTCTTTCATCCTCATCCTTCTGTCCTTGGGTTATTGATCATCTTTTCAGAATAATAGTTGAATAGTACTCTGGTAAGATAAGGCTGCTTAGTTAATAGAAACCTAATTTTGCAATTTTATATATTAAAATCAGTGAGAAAAATGGAATGTTCTATGAAAGTTAACCGAAAATGTCTTTTAATGAAGGGGGAGGATAAGATCAAGTCTTCCCCTGCGAACAAAGTACAATATATATGTGTATTAATATGTATGTGCATATATATACGTATTATATCACATAAAGGCATACGATATAATCTATACAGATATTACTGTGTTGTGATGCACTATCTGTACTACTAACCAAAGGCATAGAGAATTAAAGATGAAAGTAATTTTAGGGGGTCTCTAGTCTGAACTCCCCATCAAATCTAGAATTTCTTTCTACATTCTTTCAGGTGGTTAGTTAGACACCTACAGTGTAGTGCATTCTCCTTATCAGCATTCATAATTGTGCAAGTTTTCCGTATTGAGAGCATAGCTCTCTCTCTTTAGAGCTTCTCCCCTTTGGCTGTGATTCTGCAAGCACAATTCTATTGCTCTGAAAGCATTAAAAATCTTATTTGTGCATTCTGAAAATTGTTACAGATCAAGGACTTAAGCTCATATGCCCCAGGCTGTCAGAGGGAACCAGAATGGGTGTGGGAAGGTAGGGAGCAGTGGGGACTGTGGACTACTGTAGAGCGCAGGCCCAGGAGACGGTACTTCTCAGGTCCAGCTCATTGTTGCCATTTGGGTTAATGTCTTCCGGTATTTCAAGAGATACTGGAAATATGGAGTTTTATGTATCATTGCTCCCTTTTTAAAAGTTGGCAACTAATTAAATTCAATTTTTATCCAGGCCAAACAAAGCAACCACACCTGCAGGCTGGAAATGGCCTGTATGCAGCTGATTTGTGATCTCTATTATAGAAAATAGGAAGTAAACCTGTGATTTAAAACCATTTCCCTGTTTATGACGAACTTCTGAAAGATTGACTTGATTTGCCTTCTCAAGCAAAATACGTGTATAAGTGTCTCGATAAGTGAAGGACAGTTTGGGCCAAACTTATTTTTGTTTTAAGAGAGAATAGCTCTTGTATAGGGGGTTCACCTAATTCTCATTTTTTTCTTTTTTGGATCAAGCATCTTAAAGTTCATTGTGTTATCAACCCTGAGAGGTATTTGCTTTTTTGTGCAAAAGTTATTAGAATCCATGTGGTTGAAAGAGCCTTTTGATTAAGTGCTTCCATATTTGTGACTTGTAACTAGAAGGATCTTTAGAAATAACTTGGTCTAACTGGCTCACTTTCTAGAAGAGATGTCCAGAGACTTTAAGTGACTTGCCCAAGGTCTCATACACAGTAGAAATCAGGATGTTTTGTGGTAAATGTGGTTGAAGTAGAGAATGAATGCAGCTTTTTTTCCTGTGGATGGATGAATTGAAGATAATCAGCTTTGGATATTGCGAATCGCTTGAGCCTGTTCCGGCCCCTGCAGCCCCCCCTCCCTCCCCCATTGCATTTGCCAAGATTTAGACTGTTGGACTGTGTGCTGGAATATTCTTTAATGTGATAATGTGTGATTTAATGCACTCTTCTCTCTTGGGAGAGTCCTCTGAGACTATTAGGCGGACTTTTCTTAGCAGGATGCAAAATGCCAGTAAAGTTAATTAAAAATAATTTAAAATAGAAGCTAGGGAGAAGATGTTCAAGTTGAAATTACACAAGAAGAGCTTTGACTTAGAAGCTTAGCTGATTTGTCAGGAATTTTTAGTGGCTAATCAGGTTTCCTGTATGGGAAGCCTGTTTATTTCAATTATACCACGTATGCTCGTAATATCCATATTCTTCAACTTTTATCATATCGTTTTATCCTTTTGATTAAGAGCGGCATTTCTCAAAGTGTGTCATCTTTGGGCAGCTTCTATCTCTGGTCCTCAATCGGGGACGATAGTGCCTTCCAGGAGACATTTGGCAACCTCTCAAGACGTGTTTGGTGGTCGTAACAGGGGGTGGGGGTGGCTGCTCTGGGGATGTGGTGGGTGGAGGCCAGGGATAATGCTAAACATCTGACAGTGCACAGGACAGGGCAGCGCCTCGCAACAAAGAATTATCTGGCCCAGAATGTCGATGGTGTTGACTTGCTATCCTAGTCTCTCAAGGCTACTGACATCTTTGGCTCCACTCCAGAGTTACAGAATCAGCATCGAGAGTAAGACTCAAGAATCTGCATTTTTAACAAGCTCCAGGTGCTCTTTATCTCTAGTTGAGAATCATTGTTTTTAGAGGCTTTTATCTGTAGAAAGACATGCCATATATATATATATATATATATATATATATATATATATATATATATATATATATATATATTTTTTAGAAAGCCTTAAAAAATCTTGAGAAAAGTCCCCTTTTCAAATTCCAGACTTTAAATCCTATCACTCCACGTGTACCGTCTCTTAGAGCTCACCAGCATTTTTATCCCGTATCCCAATTAATAAAACTAGGCCTGAGTATTCATCCACAAAAAAGTCTCCTGTCAAGATCATATGTACTATAGTACGAATATATTGTGAGTATTAGAAAAGAAATATATGAATAAAAATTTTAAAGGATGAGATAAAAATAAGTAAATAAATAGATGTTTTAATACTTTCTTCTGCCCACCTCGGTAGATATTTTTGTCCCACTACCCTACACTTCTCTCTGGGGATCCCATCATTATGCAATAATAAGGAAAGAAGTCCCTAATTTGCATGTGAGCTGTATTCACCTGTAAATTGGATTTTTGGAATCTGGATTATCTTTTCTCATAGAAACAGAATGATAACTTATGTTTACCTCCATAATCTCAAAGGATTGTTGAAAATTTTATATATTTACAATGATAACTTATAGAGAACATACTCTTATGATTCTGGCAACCACATACAAATAACCAAGAACAAAATTGAGTGAAACATTTTGAATACAGATGCTTGAGAAAGAACAGGCTTCATTGGAAAACTTTAAGGAAACTTGTCTAGATTTGGAAGAGGATTTGGGGGCATTTTCGAGCACCTTGGACTTTATATTCCCAATTCTCTTTATGCCAAAAGGAACTAATGTTCATTTTACAGGTTTAGTTAGAGAAGTGCA